CATCTAGTGCTCCCCAGAGGGCGCTTTGTTTATTCTAGGGGGAGCGGGAGGGTGACATTGTGCATAGTCGAGTGGGGCGATGCAGGTTCTCTGTAGGGGTGTTGTCGCTTATGCATTTAAATCCGCATATACGAGGTTATTTACTGTGCGAAAATAAAAGAAAGTATATTTTTTCAAGATACTGTAGTCATGGTCTAAATTTATTCTTGGTTACTTCATTTATTACTAAAAAAATAATAGAAATTTGATTGTAAGGATTGTTGTAAGCTCAGAAAAGTAATATAAATGTAGAAACCATACTGTAGTACAAAACAATGGTACACAACCTAGATACGTTTGGCGTAAATAGAGATATTCATTTGTTTTTTATGAAGATCCTGAAACCACATTGATGAGTTATACAACATATTAATAAGTCTGTGGTAAAGTCAAGAAATGTAAATAAACAAACGGTTTGTTTACAATTTGCTTTTGTGTCTTAGGGAAAAATGAGTTAAACTATAAGCGATACTAATTAAACTTTTAGTTGAAGAACTAATTAAACTTTTAGTTAGAATTGAAGGCGCGATTTTTAAATTCACTGTTGCCAAGTTGCGACATTTATGTAAAATCGCTTATTTCTGGGACTTACTCAACCGGGTCTCACAATGCAAATTCACCTCAAATATTCATTTAGTTGGTCATTGGCAAGCACTCTCTCATTGTACATGAAAATAACAAAACAAAGATTTACTGATCTGGATAAAATTAATAGTTAAATGGTAGACACGACCCCAACGCCGCATAGTGTCAATCGAGAAGACAAGGGAGACCTCAAACTCTCAAGACCACCCTCGAAGGAAAGACGTCACCAGAGGTTTGCTTCCGGTCAAACGACCCGTTACCTTAACCACTCACCCGGGGGTACTCCGCCCCCTAGCCACTGATATATTCTATTAAATATATCCCATTCCATATTTTCCATCTAATTCAAATATCATTCGGTTATATATTGGTTAATAATCTTCAACAACTAGCTAGTCTCAACTGAAATAGTATAGGGGCTTCCCCCGGACGCAACTCTGCCGCTAAACAGATTCGCATCCCAATCGAATAAGCTAATTGGGGTACCTCACTAGTCTCTCTACCCCAACGCCGCATCGTGTCAATCGAGAAGACAAGGGAGACCTCAAACTCTCAAGACCACCCTCGAAGGAAAGACGTCACCAGAGGTTTTCTTCCGGTCAAACGACCCGTTGCGCAGTGCTTCGAACATATGGCTCTAGAGGACAAAAATCCAAAACTTCTCTTTTATTGTAAGCAATTTATTCAAACTAGGTTTATTTCACACAAATGATGAGTACTCTCATTGTACTAAATGATGATGTTCTTAGTCCCACGTTTATGAAAAAAAAATCTTATAAATAATAATAATGTTGGAGCTGTGTTCCATCTAAGCAAATAATAAGTTATAGTATGAAAACGGTGTAAGTATTAAATAAATTCCTGTGATAAAAAAGAATTGAAATAACATTAGAACATGATTCCTACAATAGAAGCCTAATATAAGATAAAAATGTTTTTCTTTAATGAAAAGAAACATTAATGTTATATTTAATTAAAAAAAAACTTAAGATACTATAAATTTACTTTAGGACAACAAAATGCATAGATCGTAACTACTCTGATTCAGGAGAATCACTGCTGACAGAATCTTCCAAATTTATAGTATCCAAATCACAGGTAGATGAAGTATCCTCACATATAAGATATTTCTGTACATCATTTTCTAATATGTTACTTTTTCGCGTTGTTACTGTTCATTTTGTCGGTATGAGGGGTTCGGATGTTAATAGTTACCTCTTTAATAGACCATATCCATATATTATTTTTTCCTTTTCTTGGGTATGAGATTTTATAATAAATTGAAAGATGGACACTTTTTTTATGCGACGTTTCGCTCCAACATAGTGGACTTTTTCAGGCACAAGTGGTGTCTCATTTGACTGGAAGGTTCATCAATATCTAATAAGAACATATTTTTTGAAATACAAATAATTTTGAGTTCTTGTCCTTATGATCAAGCCAAGTATTAGCCAGATCGGCATTGCTTATCAATTTTACTCCATCTGAAAAGTATTATAAAATAAAGTTCGTCGCAAGCAGACGCAGGTGAAGTATACAAAAATTAAAAGTGTATGAATATGGCAACAAAAATATTCAATAAATACGATATGTTTTGATATGTTTTTTTTAAATGCCTTTCTGAAGTTTGAAAACGTAAAACTTTTATACCCATTTAAGAATCATCTTAAAAAATAAATAAAAACTAAACAGTCACGAACTTGTTTAGAAATAAATTTAAAGTACATACCTTGTTTAACAATATCCATAGTGGCTTTCAATTAAGTACGTACCCGTTTAACTCCATAATATACAGAACTACTATGAATGTTATTCTTTTCAGTGATGAGATAATGATCGCAAAATTTATTTTTAGTGAAAATATTTGCTAACAAAAACGCTGTTTATGAAAAATAATATACAGGATGGTTGAACATTGCTATAAGTATAAAATTATATATTCAGATATTAGTAAATTTTACCTTATTTTTTGATTTTTGTCCATGGGACGAAGCACTGTGCGTTGCCTTACAGTATTTGCAACGTTTATAGTCAAAAGACTCTCAACCCCCAAATATCAGCTCTATGACAAAACACAACACAACAGCCGGCTGGCCAGTCTACTACTGAACCGGCGTAGGCAAGCTTAGCCTCCTCTTACATCACAATTTTACCGGATCGTAAATGTTTACATTACTTGCCAATGAATCATACTATTTTCTCTAATCGACTTTAAAATAGAGTGTTTTAGCATTACTAGATAAATAAATAGAGAGTTTCCGAATTATAAAACCATTATTATAACCAACTTATTTTCCAAGTTTTACATTTATTTATTTATTTCCTGACACTGTCATCCGTTATGACACTTTAGTTTTGTAGTATGTGTTTTTGAATAAATTGTGATACTTTAAACCATAGACAAACAAATAAAAAGAGACTGATAAATCTCATGGTAAAGAGTGGGACCACGTTCCCGAAGCGCAACTCAACAATTTTGAAACCAATTAGCAGGTCCACGACAGGACGTACGTCTTTATTGCTATCTTTCTTTATGATGTGTGCCTCATATGAAAAAGAAAGAGATAGGTATAAAACGTATTGTAGGACATTATCACACATTCTGGCTTCTGGCTGGCGGGAAATTTAAATTAGCCATTATTAGTAGTATTCTTTCATTCTGAAACTGAAAATTTTCACTTAAACTGATTTATTCCCTATGCCACGTAAAGGAAACGTGGTGTAGGGAATAAATCAGTTTAAGTGAAAATTTGCAGTTTCTTTCAGAACGAAAGAATACTACTATTATAAGGGAAATTATAAAAAAAAAGCAAAAATTGTACTGTTTTATAAACATATTTATTTATACATAAAAATAAATAAGTTTTTCATAATATAATAACAAAAAATAACAGTGTTTATTCCACCCACCTACCAATTTTAAATGCAGAAGAACTGACTGTTGCAGGAAACGATCGGCCAATTTTTTTAAAGGGCATTAAAAATCTCATTTTCGAAAAAACTGCCTAATTGCAATAACAAAGTGAATATCCAAGCAAAGAAGACTTTACGAGAATCATGATCCTGAACCATTTTCAAGTCCAGTTTTAATCCTAATACAAAAGTAAAATAGGTATATTAATAAAGTTTCTGGTTATTATAAACCAGCTTTAAACTACCTACCTAAAAAATGAGAAAATTTAATTGTATTAATTTGTTATGTTAAGACAGGTTCGAAATATTTTTGACACTACTACTTCTACTTTTTTCTTAATTAGATGATAAATATAACTACTTACTTTTATTTTACCGGGTGTCTTTAACATATCTATCAGAGAAAGGGGGTACCAATACATATAAAAAATACATGATACTGGCTCCTGCAGCAAATAAAATAAAAAATAGTATAACTTAAAATTATAAGTACCCCAATATAAATAACAAAGGAATTTGTTCCCTATCCATATTCATAAGTCAATAAAATGGAGAGTTTAGAAAAAAAGGTAAATCACCAAAAGAAAATTTAACAAACATGACGAATTGTCATCTTGGTTGTCATGATGACGAAAACGAAAGGCGATTGTTCTAATTTCTATTTAGAAATTACGTTTTATATGGCTGCTTCTTACTCTCTTATTATATTAGAATGAGATAGTGGGCCCACGCAATGCGCAGATCAACAAAAATAGAACGAAATTTTGCGTTCTGAGTTGCGCTACGGGAACGTTGTCCCTCTCTTTGCCATATAATTTGTCAGTCTCTTTTTATTTGTTTGTCTATGCTTTAAGCTTAAAATTTTTTACTAGCGGACCTTGCTATCGAACACTGTTCTATTTATAACCTCTTTTAGTGCAAAGTGTAGAAGATAGCTTAATAGGCGCTGCAAAAAACTCATCGCAACCTTATTAGAATATTTTGAACGAGACAGCGGTAGTAATGACCCCTTATGTCTCTTAAGTGCTGTTAAGAAGGTGAGTTTTGTTAATATAAATATTAACTGTTTATATACTTATAATTAATTTTATTAATTTTTATAATTATTTCATTTTTTTATTATTTTTGCTTTTTTTGCCTAAAATATTTTGATTAAAAGAAACTATGTAAAAGTGGGCAACGCTGTGCCAGCCAAGCTTATACACGTGACTAAAAGTTTAATTGGTATGAACTTATACAGGTTGTTAATTTGTTTATTACTCGCGGCAAGAGCTTTTTGGTTGAAATATGGCAACCTCGGCCCGCTCGTCGATAGACGACGCGACGGGACGAGTCGGCAGAAAACCCTATAAGTGCATGCGTTCTCAATAGACAGTGTTGCCATTCTGTTCCCCTATAAGTAACTATCCAGTTAACAACCTGTCTATGTTTATTTTACCTTTTATTCACTATCTTATACTTACTTCTAAATTTGCGTCATATTTGTATTTGGCCCTTGTTTCCAAAAAACAAATGTTGGGTTTGATTTCGCACCGAGTGCGCATGTATTTACTGAGTTCTTCGTCTTTTTGTTCCTCGAACATTCCATGAATAAGAGCTGTATCTCCGCCCAAAGGTAAATGGATGCTTTCCAATTCCGTGACACCGTACATCAGCTCAAATCTAAAAAAAAATTAATAAGGGCAATGAAAAAACACATATTTTTGGAATATTAGACATAAAATAGAAATATAGGGTGATTCACGGCGTAAAATCATGAATTAAACATTTTTAAAGTTGAAATTTGGGTTATAAGTTAACGGAAGTCCATATATTCGATCTGTTTAAATCAACCGATAGATTAGACACAGGGAGAGCAAAAATATTATTTATTTCCTTTCTTATAAAATTGCTCAAATCCTTGTTATTTTAAATTCAACCCTATTATATCTATACTAATATATAAAATCCTTAAGTGACTGACATACTGATTAATCACGATCCTGCTCAAACCACTCAACGTAAGGAGCTCAATTTTGGCATACAGGTTGATTCTAGGGTGTAGAGGTTCGATAAGAAGGGATTTTTCGAAATTCCAGTTCCAAGAGGGTGAAACCACCCCTCAAATATTACAATATTTCTTATTTAAAAAACGGTCAAGTTTCCGAAAAAACGCTTAAACACGTATATTTTATTTTGTTTTTTACATATTTTAAGATTTTTTAAAAATGTATACAGGGTGTTTCGAAACATCTGGTCATTGATTAATCACGATCCTGCTTAAAGCGCTTGACGTAAAAAGCTGATTTTTGGAAAACAGATTGACTTTAGGGTGTAGAGGTTCGATAAGAAGGGATTTTTCGAAACTCGAATTCTAAGGGGGTGAAACTAATCCCTCAAATATTAAAATATTTTTTATTTATAAACCGGTGAGTTTTTCGGAAAAACTCTTAAACACGTATATTTTATTTTGTTGTTTTACATATTTTAAGATTTTTTATAAATTTATTCAGGGTGTTTCATAAAATATGACCATAGAGTAATCACACGATTCTGCTTAAACTGCTTGACGTTTAAAGCTGATTTTTGACAAATTTGGAGGATTGACTGTGGGGTATAGAGGTTCGATAAGGAGGGGTTTCTGGAATATCTAATTCCAAGAGGGTGAAAACGCCCCTCAAATATTACAATATTTGTTATTTAAAAAACGGTTAGTCTTTCGGGAAAATGCTTGGACAAACATAATTTATTTGGTTTTTTACATATTTTGAAATATTTAAAAAAAAACATACAGGGTGTTCCAAAGTTGGGTAATTGATTAACCACGATTCTGCTTAAACTGCTTGACGTAAAAAGCTTATTTTTGGCAACCGGATTTTTCGAAAGTCAAATTCCAACGAGATGAAACTACCCCTCAAATATTACTAAGTTATATAATAATATCGCCATATTGTTTTTTCTCATGCTGACATAAATATGAGAAAATTTTATCCAGTTTGTATGTTAATGGAAATTCTTGCTTTGCTTTATCACCACCATTACAACCTATCTTGATATCCAATCAGTAGATTTAGACAGATCGAATATGTCGACTTTGCTTAATTTCTTAATCCATAAACCATTTAGCTTCCAATATGCCGAATTTATGATTTAACCAATGCTTATTCAGGATTATGTTTTTGTCAATTTTACACGTTTTATTTTTTAACTCGAAAATTATTAGAGATTGGTATAGGTTAGTATAAAAGAAAAATTTCGAGATTTGGAAGTAGTTTCGAAAAATATAATAATATATCAGGTGGTCCATTTAAAATAGCAAATACTACCACTTTTAGTATGAAACGGCAACATTATAATGCTTGGAGCAGGTACCTTTATGCAAAAATCCATCACCGGTTCTTCATAAACGTCTAACGTGCTATGGCCGTGAATTACCCTGTATATCATGTTAAGTTTCCGTCATTTTATATATACACAACCAAACTTATATGGAATCACTCTTTATTTCGGACTAAATTTCTTGCAAGGATAAAAATTGGTATACAACTTTAAGATAAGGCTTTTTGTTGTAAATAAACATGATAATAAAGAGTAAACGACTACTGCGATTTATTTTCTTTTGAATTTAGTGTTCAGTAGTAAAAATCACGATTGTCTGGTAATTTTCATTCAATCCAAAAAAATTAAAAAATGCCTTATGTTGGATTAATAAATGTACAGAGGGTAAGAATTATTGCTCTCACCGAACAAGGAATGCTCCAGAGAGACGTAGCAGAGATAGTAGGCGTTGCCCAGGGTGTTGTATCGAAAACATATGCAAGATACTTGGAATTAGGAACACACAAGGATAGGCCCATACAAATTCGCCAAAGAGTCACAACTGAACAATAAGACCGCCTTGTGTGCTAAATTGCTAGTATAAATCCCAATGTTTCTCATTCAGGGCTACAAAGACAAGTTCTGGCAGCTACAAGTGTGAACATTTCAGTTGAAACCATAAGAAACAGCCTTCGTGCACGAGGGTTTTACAGTAGGAAAGATTTACGTATCCTACAGTTATCTCGGCAAAATAAAATTGATCGGCTAAATTGATGCCTTCAACATCAAAACTGGACAACTGAGAATTGGCAAAATGTTCTTTTTTCGGATGAGAGCAGAATTGGCCTAAGATCAGATAACCATCGAATTCGGATTCTTAGAGCTCCAGGAAGACGAGCGAGACGTCAGGCTGCCAAATCTGTACCAAGATATAAAGGAGGAACTGTAATTTTCTGGGGAAGTATTATACTAGGAGCAAAAACTCCATTGTTACCACTTAAACAAATTTTAACGGGTGGGAGATATGTTGCTTTGGTGCTAGAACCAATCGTTAGTCTGTGGAGAGCTGCAATTGGGGATAATTTTAATTTCATGCGCCATAGTGCACCTCCCCATACCAGCAGAGTGACTAGAGAACGTATTGAAACGGAAGGTGTCATAGTTTTGGACTGGCCTGCCTATTTACCAGATCTAAATCCTATCGAGCACTTGTGGGACTAGCTCAAAAGAAGGGTTAGAGCTCGTCGAAACAATCCAGGAAATCTCGCACAGCCTATTGATGCAGCATTAGCATAATGGGAAAACATACCGCAAGACAACGTGGATAATTTAACAAGAAGCATGCCAGCGCGGATAGAAGCTTGCATAAGGGCTAGAGGTGGCAACAAAGAATATTAAAATTACCAATTTTCTTTTTGTTTAAACTTTTTGGCCATTAAAAATTTAAATCTTAATTTCGTTTCAGAAACCAAAAAAATACCATTTTGTTTATTTTGGGAACTGATTATTTTTTTTTATTGCTATATGGATTATTTTTCATTAAAGGTCATTGGTAAGGACTGAGTTTTATTCATAAACAGAAAATTCTCATACATCTCAAAAATTATGGGAAATAATAGGTGATTCCATATAAGTTTGGTTGTGTATATTTTGCCATTTCTTCACCAAGATATCTAAGTAAAATAACCGTGTGTGGTATTAGAATACCCGGCGCGAGTACCGGACAGTTAAGAGAGACTCGCCTTGTATATCGTTTAAGTAATATCATGAATCAATTGAGTCCGCTCCAACATTTCCAATAGTTTTTCTGCATTCTTTCTTCAGTAAATTTATGATTAATCCCCGACGATTTCTTTTATGAAAAAGATACCCCCTCCATTTTTGGCCGTCGCAGAAACAAAAACAAGATGTTTTCCCCCGAGCGCTCGACCTCCTTTATTAAATTCAAAATAAAAACCGGGGAAGATTACCGGTGTCGTATATCAGCGCCGCAGACGACAACGGCGGGCGTAAAAGAAAAATAAATTACAGGATAAAAAGCCAAAGTGACAGGGACACTTCGATATTCGGTTTGCGTGGAATGGCGTGTGGCCGAGCCACGACGTCATTTCGGCTTTATTTCGAATTTAGCGAGAAAGCATCGCGTGGCAAAGCCGGAATCAGAATAAATGCGCTGTTTTTCTTTTCCATATTTCTCGGCATTTTCTCGACCCCGGCAAGCAGCAAAATCATAACTTTGGTCTAGACAGGGTTCACCGATCTATATCAAAGGGTATTATTTCAAGAATGTCACCACCAAAATAAAATTTTAGGGGAAAAACATATTTGCTTTAATAATGTTAAAGACAATTAAATTAACTTCAATCTAGATAACCATCATCATCATAATTTTCAGTTTATTCAACCATTTACAATTATGATGTAGCCTCGCTAACATATTTAAATAATATTTTTGTAATTCAAATTCAAATTTATTCAAATTCATATAGTTTATTTACCTTTTTTTAGATATTAATATACAAATTAAACAAAGCAAAATATTGGGTTAAAGGGACTGTGTCGCGATTATAAAAAAAAACCGATACACAAAAACAATAATTTTTTTTATGTCGCACAGCCCCGTAATAATTGATCTTATTGTTGTCTATTTTTGGCTATGAGGGTCTACAACTATAAAGAAATAAGAAAATTTTTTAAAACTAGAATAAACAAAACTTCCATACATGCAACCAGGATAATAGATCAAGCGGACAAAGAATATAAAATACTTTATGTGCATTAGAAAAAAAAATCCTCGAAAATTATCTAAACTTTTTATTTCTTATCAGTGAGAAACATCGGCCTCGTTGGCCTTGAAGAATTTGTTGGGTATTTACAATGGTCGAATTGTATAATTATCAGCTTCTATAGCATATCTAATAGGCAGAAAGTATCTGGTAGATTAGTAACCAACTGGCACAGTCCTAAAATTATCGATTTTTATTTTCTCTGTTTTTATTGGTCGCTTCAAAATTCAGAGTAACAAAAAATATTTTTCTGTAGTAAAATACAGAGAAGTCGGTCCTGCCATCTAGCAGTCTCAGTCCATAAACGTCTTAGATTTATCTACCTTAAAAATATACAGGGTGCTACAAATTCGAGGTACGAGCAGTGATATCTCGGTAACCATAATAGATACGAACATAATTAAATTGGGGCAAAGTTACGCTTTGGGATGTTCACCAAGATGCCATCAAAAAAGTTTTCAACATTTCAAGGATTGCTGAGTTTTTTGAAAAAAAACGAATTTTTTTGAAAATCAGTTTTATTTTTTCTTGTCGTTACTTTTTAGAAAATCAAAAAACTAATTGCACATTCTCATAGCC